TAAACTATCTATAAATATTTTAAATATAACAAAACAACAACAAAAAAACAGTAAAATATTATTAAAAAAACCAAAAAAAAAAATTACTTCTTTTTATTTCAATCTTTATTTTAGATTCTGGGTTTGCTGATTTTCTTTTACAACTTCAATTGATATTGAAGTTATCATATTTTAGCTCGGATCCAGTTTTTGCAAACTTCCTATTTTTTTGCCATGATTTTTATATTTTGATTGATTTTTTAGTCTTTGGCCAAGTCCAACACAATTCGGTTATTTTTTAATTTGTGTTTTTCCCCCAAATTATATTTTCTCTTCTCAGTTTTCCGACATTTCCAACACGAATCTCGTTTACAGCCAAGGACAAGGCAGCGCACACAACCAACCGACCTCGAAATGATGCCAAGAAATGTGTGTTTAGGGCCAAACGCTTTTACTATGATGGAACTCTATGCAAATGTACCCGAGATTCTATTTGATATATAGTATATATAATATATGTATGTGACTAAACTACTGTAACTACTACTATATACCACACGAGCCGAAAACTCAACAATTCCCCTACCTAAAGCAAAACTTGTCTAAATTATGAATTTATTACATGTGTAGCATGTGTATCTGCAAAACTAAGGCATAAAAATGTAAAAACTAAAACATAAGGAAACACTGAAAAATAAAAAAATACAGAATACACACAACAAAAAATAAAAAAAAAATAAATAAAAAAAAAAAAAGAATCCAAAAGGTGTATAAGTACATTTATATATACATTTATACGATACATACTATATACTAATTAAAAAAAAGAGATATGCAAACTAAAAATAAATAAATAAATGAATAAACTACCTCAGCTTTGAATATTTCTATAGAAATGTTATTAAATGTATTTGAATGGCAAAAAAGATTAAAAAAGAGAAAAAAGTAAAATAAAGAAACAGAAATGGCAAACAAGTTTTAGAGCTGCATTTATATACATACATACATACAAACATACATGCATACATACTAGTAACAATACTATTTATACTAAGTGTACGTACATTTTGCATATTCCTATATAGCTAAATAAACATAAAGGCAAAATGGGTCACTAAAACAAAAATGAAAAATAAATAAAAATGAAATCCTAAAACAAATTCATATATAGTATATATATTTGTATACATAAAAAAG